GTAGGTAATCACGGCAGCTGAGTTCAAGAGTGCAAGAGCCAGGCCAAGCCTAGAAGCCAGCATCTATCACCATCCTAACTCTTCTCCATTTCCATCTATCCCTTCTACAATGTTCTCTGAGCCTTGGAGGGGATGATTTGTATGGTTGAACATCCAATTATCATTAATTCTCAGTACTTTGACCGGTACCAGTTATGAGTCCCGGCAGTAACTGCTGACCACTACCAAAAGGTTCAGTGACCAAAGCTGACAACAGCATCAATCTACAGGCCTCAACACAGTTATTTTTAAAAGCAATTTGATGGGTGTATCATGGCTATTTAGCAAAGCAACAGCAATAGCTTCCCCATTAGGTCCTATAACCTGAGGGATGGGATCTTGGAGCTTACAGTACCAGACAAGAATTCCATCCCATGCAGTGGGCATCAAATCCAATCAGAATGCCATTAGCTGCCCAGTAACAAACTTGGTACTGCTTCATCTTATTTATCTAGCTTGTTGATGGTGTACATATGGCCCAAAGCTGGTAAGAGTGCTGATGGCAATCTCCCCCAGCAGGCTGCATAGCATCTTCAGGCAGGGAACAAGTACCGAGGTCATTTCCAGCTTTATGTCGCTGCATTGTGACCACAGCTTGAGACAGCTTCAGAAATAGGTTCTTGAGAGTGACCAATAGCAAGCAGAAATGGTTGGCTATTTTTTTTACTATTTCCAGGAATCACACACACACACACACACACACACACACACACACACACACACAGTATGTTGTTTTGAAGAAACTGTTGATAGTTACTTAAAATCTTCAAACTTCATCGTTGCATTGTTTTCAAGAATTCCAAATTTAGAAAATTGTTTTAGAGAAACTGTTGTCAGTTATTTAATATTTTTAAATCCTGTCTTTGGTTGTTTTTGCTTTTCATTAGCATATATCAATATAACGGGTTTCAATGTGATATTTTCACACATACATAGTAGGTATTGTGGTAGTTTAAATAAGATGCCCCTCATAGGCTCATATATTTCAATGCTTAGTCACTAGGGAATGGAACTCTTTGATAGGATTAGAAGGATTAGGAGGTGTGGCCTTGTTGGAGGAAGTGTGTTATTGGGAGTGAGTGGGCTTTGGGGTTTCAAAAGCCCGTGGTGGGCCAGGTTCTCAGGCTGCCTGCTGATCAGGATGTAGTTCTCAGCTACATTTCTGCCACTGGGCCTGCCACGCCAGCTGACATGTTCCCCACTGTGATAAAGATGAATTAAGCCTCTGAGACTGTAAGCAAGCCCCTAAGAAAATGCTTCCTTTTATAAGAGTTGCCTTGGTCATACATCATCTAACCAAGACAGGTATATTTAAACATAATATGGGGATTGGTACAGGCAAAGCCCTTAAAAAGAGGGAACTATTTAGAGTTGTCCTTTTGTTGCCATCTGGAAGACAAGTGCACCTTGGGGAAATCTACCACACTGCTGCTGTGCAAGTGAGTGGTTCCTTTGCCGAAGAGGACAAAGGTGATGGTGAAAGCTGTGGTGGGAAGAACCAGCAAGGGGCTGCGTTCCTAAGCAGCTCAATTCCGTTAGAGGTGTATACACACAGAAACCGATGATCTGGAAAATGGTTCCCTTAAGATGATCTGTGCCTCTGTATCTATTGATGGGATTCTTGTGCTCATTCATTTTCAGACCATTGACACCCTCCTCTCCAAACTCAAGAGAATGAAAAACTTCCCCAGGAAGTTGGGGTAATGAAAGGCGCAGTGCGACAGACCCACAGAGACACTGCTTCAGGATGCTTGTTACAGCACAGGAGACTCCAGGACAGATGACTCCAAATAAAAAATGGTTCTGAGCATGTCACTATGTTCCATTTTGGTTGGAGTCTAGAGGCTCCTTTTTTTGGGGGAGGGGGGTGTAAAGCTTAGTTGAGAAAAGAAAACACTGTCAAGAGAAGCCGTGTGTTATGAGAGTCAGCAGAGCACTGATTAAAAATAGCTGTAACCTGGACTAGAACCAGGTATCTCTAAGAGATTAGCATCTCCAAGAATGCTCGCAATATACCAGAGACAAATATCTCCTGGTTTACCAGTAGGTGGCATGGCTTTGAGAGGTAAAGAAATGGACCAGATCACTAAGTGAGATTAAAGCTTTGAATGTTGGTATAATTTGTTATAATGGTACTCTTTAAAGTACATGGTTTACAGTCTATGTATTCTGTACTTTTTAGTTCATTCATCTTTCTGAAACGCTAGCTCCTCACTACCTGCATCGAGATCACAATTGTCTGTTAAATATATAACATCTAGGGGCTGGAGAGAAGCTTAGCAGTTAAGAACACCCATTTCAGGCAGCTCACAACCGCCTGCAAAGCCAGCTCCCGTGCATGCAAGGTTCCCTGGCCTTTGCACGAACACACGCAGACACACACACGGAAATTAACATAAAACGTCACAACATCACAAACATAAAATAGGTATCTTGTTGCATGCATACAGAATTAGGGGATGTGAAGGAACACATGAAGCTCCAGAATCAGAATTTAGATCCAGTACTGAAGGAGATTTTTATACACTTCTGGGTTTGAATGCAACTGACTGGAGTCCTACAGCAGAGGTGTGGAAGCTACATAGCTTTTTAGTCCTATGGAACCGCTCTGGCAAACATCTCTACACCATGTACAGACATGGTGTAGAGACAGGCAAGCACACACTGGAACAGCTGAGGCTCTGGGTTGACTTCCTGGGAACCCGATCTTCCCCCATGCAGTGATTTAGCTGTCTTTCCATATGAAGAAATGCATTTTTAATTTCTTCTACTCTTCTCCCCCAGTGTCCTCTGAATTTTAAGGTATTAAATCAATGCAGAAATCCCATTGAAACCATCAGATTTTGGCAGGGCATGGCAGCAAACGCCTTTAATCCCAGCATTTGGGAGGTAGAGGCAGGCAGATCTCTGTGAGTTTGAGGCCAGCCTGGTCTACAAAGAGAGCCAGGGCTTGTTACACAGAGAAACCCTGTCCCGAAAAACCAACCCCCCCCAAAAAACAAACAAACAAACAATAAAAAGGGAAACCCTTAGATTTCTTAGACCCAATGAAACCACCACCCATTCTATGTTAGGTGGTGCTCTAATAAAACCATTGAAATGAAAATAATGGCAGCAATTAGGCACACTTCATCCCAGTCTGATGGCCCAGTACCTTGGTTCTAAAAAGGCTATTTTCAAAATGGACAGAAGAACAATAGTGAGTCCACAGATGAATGTCCCGGGTAAGGGAAGACATCTTTTCTCATTAACGGAAGGGCACCAACAACAGGTAGAGTAACAAGAAAAAAGCAGACTGATCGTCTGAACCTCAGACATTCAGGGCGTGTCTGGTGGTAAGGCACACACAGATTCTCCATCTTTGAGGATAAAGACACTCCTTCCTTCTGAGGTGAAGGGGGTGTGTGGAATAAAGACTCTTGTGGTCAAGTTCAGGGAAAGGCAGCTAGAATCTACAGCCTGCTCTGGGGGAGAAGGAACAACGGGAGAGTGAAGGTACCCTGGTGGGCTTTGCCATTTTCTAAAATGCTAAGGTGCTGTGTTATGGAGTCGTGTGTTTGCATCCCAGTGGCACTGAGGTGGAGAGAGCATCTAAATCCTCAGTTAGGATCCAAGTCAGGGTCCTGTCCACCCAAGAGACAGATCAGAGTCTCTGTGCTCTTAGATCTGGTTGCCCTTACACTGAGGGAGAATATTGGTCAAGAACTCTAAATTATACGGGAAGGACAAACCAAACAATCAGAAAACCCAAACTAAAACAAACCAAATCAACCAACCAACCAACCAAACAAAACAGGTAACAGCTTTAACTAACAATTTGTTACTCTCAAGAAGGTAAGCTACTTAAGATTCGATACATTAAGTGACAATTCTGGCAGTTGTAAGAATTTATTATGCTATATTAAATTATTGTTTACAAGTAGTATATATGACTAAGTCTTTAAAAGTCATGCTTCGGGAACATTCTTTTAAGGATGTTTGGCAAAAAAAAAAAACACAACAGTCATTTGGTAAATTGCTTTATTTGTTGCTACATGTACTTGTGACAAATTTACTTCAGGTGGTTAGATTAAAATTCATAAAACTATTACTCAAAAATTAGTGCAAATATATATATTTGACAGTAAAAGTATAAAATCCAACGTGAAGCTCCCCATCCTCAGAGTGGTTGCTTTAACTCTGCACAAGTTCGCTGAGATAGACAGACTTGGGGTTGGATTAATTTGGGCGTGTGATGTTTAGTTTATGCACAAGCTTTCCTTTTTAAATAAAAGTTTATGAAATTATAAAGAAAAATTACAGTTTAAGGGATCAAGCTGGTAGAAAAAAAAGAGTGGAATTGAGGAATATTATTTCTCTACCAAGTCTGACCCTGTAGCCATCGCTGATGGCTTTTTATCCCCTTACACTTTAAAAAAAATTACTTTATTTTATATGTATGAGTGTTTTGCCTTTATGCATGAAAAATTCACTGTGTATAGGCAGAGGGTGCTGAATTTCCTGCAAGTGGAGTTACTGAGGTTGTAAACTGGCCTTGTGGGTGCTGGGAACCAAACTTGGGTTCTTTGCGAGAACACCAAGTGCGGTAAACCACTAAGCCAGCCTTCCTTCCTTCCTTCCTTCCTTCCTTCCTTCCTTCCTTCCTTCCTTCCTTCCTTCCTTCC